AGAGAGAGAGAGAGAGAGAGAGAGAGAGAGAGAGAGAGAGAGAGAGAGAGAGAGAGAGAGAAAGAGAGAGAGAAAAAAAAAGAGCGAGAGAATGAGCGAGGGAAAGAGAGAGAAAGAGAGAGAGAGAGAGAGAGCGATCCCGACTCGATCCCGACTCAATCCCGACTCATCCAGACTCGATCCAGACTCATCCCGACTCGATCCCGACTGGATCTCGACTAATCCCGACTCAGTTAATCAATTAATCAATTGATCAATCAATCAATCAAGTTTGACTGATTGGTTGGTTGATTGATTAATTGATTGATTGATTGATTGATTGATTGATTGATTGATTGCCTCAGTCGGGATTAGTCGAGATCGAGTCGGGATCCCGACCTCGATATTGATCCCGACGTTGGAGATGTGCGATCCGGGCCCCAATTCTCTCTCTCTCTCTCGAACTGTCTATCTTCCGTGCTCAATCGATTGATCGATGAATCGATCAATCCATCAATCCATCAATCAATCGATTGATTGATTGATTGACTGATTGGTGGGAGAGGTGTCCTCCCTCCCCTCCCCCCGGCACCCGCACACATACACACACACACACACACACACACACACACGCGCACACACACACACACACACACACACACACACACACACACACAACACACACATTAGCTGGTCATAGTAGGATAGATAGGATCGAAATGCAGATGGAACATACATCATGATCATCGCATAGTGTGAGGGGCCTGGCGCTGCACACAAGAAGAAAGCGTCAGGCTCAGATCATACACGGATTAGGAGGAGGGGAATGAGACGAAGAGGGGAAGGAAATGAGAATGCCGTCAACAAATGTGGTCGCTATGTACATGTGGACAAATCTCAATGTCACAAATCTCTCTCTCTCTCTCTCTCTCTCTCGCGCGCGCGCGCGCGCGCGCGCGCGCGCGCGCACAGGGGGGAGCATGTGCGAGGGTCGTATGCTCTTTCTCTCTCTCTCTCTCTCTCTGTCTCTTTGTCTCTCTCCGCGATAGGGTGACGTGGCGAGGGGGCTACGTGGGGAAGAGTATTCAGGTACATCTCTCTCTCTCTCCCTCTCCACGACAGGGTCACGTGGCAAGGAGGCTACGGCTCTCTCTTTCTCTCCCTCCGCGATAGGGCGACGTAGCGAGGGGGCTACGTCTCTCTCTCTCTCTCTCTCTCTCTCTCTCTCTCTCTCTCTCTCTCTCCACGATAGGACTACGTGGCGAGGGGGCTACATGGCGCAGATGTAATCAAGTATGGGCGCATGCGCGCGGGGCTCGCTGACGTGGACTTGCTTGATTCCGATGCCTCAGCGCGGACGTGGCGTGTTACTTGACGCGCGCTCGATGGCCATGACGACCATGATTGCAGCTCTCTCTCTTTTCAGCAGCTCGATGGCGATGACAAAGACGATGGCGATCTTCGAGAGCTCTCTCTTTCTCTCTCTCTCTCTTCGGCGTGCGCTCGATGGTGATCACGACGATGGTTCCCCTTTCGCCATCTCTCTCTCTCTCTCTCTCTCTCTCTCTCTCTCTCTCTGCCATCGCTCCCTTTCCTCCATTCACCATCGCTATGCATCTCCGTCATCTACAGTCTTCTTGCTTTGCGAGCTGCCTCCTTCATTCTCCTTCGCCGCCCTCCGTTTCTTCTCAATCCTTCTCACCATATCGAATGCTAGCAAGCACTCTTGCTCGACTTTGGAGGCATGAAGGCCGCGAGCTTTTTCTGTTTCCCTCTCAGCCTCCTCTTCAAGCGACCTTGGGTTCTCTCTCCCCTTCTCGAGGTACCTCTCCGCCTCCCTGTCCCGTTCCCTATCCTTCTCCTCTTCCAGCCGTTGTCTCTCCTCTTCCTCCATATCTGCTTGAAGCTCTCATGCATATCTCAGTTGCCATAGGGCCTGCCACCTGTGCACTGGGCTCCATGCATAATGTCCCTTCTAGAGAACAGGCTGCCGTCGGGCCATCGTATGCTGAAGGGGTTTATGGACCCTCCCTCGGCATGGCTCCTGTTGCTCCTCGACCTTGCCGCGTTGTCACGCACCATGGTGTTGTGGGGAGAGAGAGAGAGAGAGAGAGAAAGAGAGAGTGTAGGATGCAGACAGAGAGAGCTAGAGCGATGGAGAGAGAAAGGTAGGCTGTGGAGCAGCAGCGTAGAGGAGTTCCACTTAGCAGCATCGTAGACGAGTTGGAGTTTGACATGCTCCATACTCGGTTTGGTCAACGTTTTCTACAGTAAACGTTGACCTGGCTCTTGCCCCGGGTTGTGCGTTGACCTGAGCTTGGGCCCAGGCAGGTACCCATGTTGACGTGAGTGTGGACCTGGGCCTGTTCTCAGGTTTACATGGGCCTGTGCCAA